TTATATTTGAACTTACAATACGAAAAACAAGGTTTCATATTGTGGTGTTCAGCAAAGACAGCAATGTTTAACAATATCATCATCAAATCAGTGTAGATGGACCAAAATAAAACCATTAAAATATCAAGTAAATAATTATTGTGATACTTGGTGCCACAGTTGACACTCTTGACCCAACAAGTATTGCTAGACCTCGATATGTTGTCCCACGGTGAGTCATTTTTCCCTGTTGCACCTACACAAAAATTCCCCAACCTGCCAAATCGCACTTTAACCACTGAGCACATCCCACAGACTGGATTCAGATCTGGGGAATTTGGGGGCCAGGGCAACACCTTATTTAGGTACTGTATGTGGCACGTGTCAAATTTACGTCCACGTGAATGTGCAGACCCAGGGTTTCCCAGCAGGACATTGCCCAGAACATCACCCTCCCTTCACAAGCTGGTCAGCATCCCACAGTGCATCCTGGTGCCATCACTTCCCCAGGTAAAGGGGGCACACGTACACAACATGCATTGATGAGCCTTTGTGCCAAAAACCCAGTCAAATATTATATAAAAATATAGCTGCAAGCAGCAATAACTGGGGCCAAGCGCAAAGAAGACGGCAAGACATGACAACATGTGTCAAACCAACTGCAGCAAGAAGCATTTAAAGATGAATTAAGGCAAAATAGCAAAAAAAAAAAATCACATACATTAACTAAAAATGTGATTAAATGTATTATCACTTTCGACCAATAGGTGGCATAGTTACAAAATCGATGTGATGGTCAAAGTTTGGTGACGATGAAATAACCTTCAGACCAGTGGCATTAAAATACGCAGATTTATTCAAAAGTTATAAGCATTATTAGAAATTTTGTTATAACTTTGACCAAAAGGTAACGCTGTCTTGAAATCTTTTGAGTACGTTCAGGGGATGGTGCTGATGGCACAAACTGAGTATTGAGTATTTCGTAATGTTACAGCAATGCATTCGTTAAGTATAGCATGCTATGTTCTATTATAGCGCCAGCAATAGGCAAAATCCCACTTTTTTTTTCATGTGTACTCAGAATAAGCCCATGCATGTGTGTGCCACATTTGGTGAGAATATCTCAATTCTCTTCGGAATTTAAGATATTATATACAAAAAACACATCAAAAATGACTGACAAGTGACTTTGATTGAATTTTATTACCCCTTACTATCAATATTTTAGCATTAGCATATAGCCAGCGACCTATGTTTCCAAACTTCTGATGGTGGTTTCGTCTAGATCGGATTTCAAAGATATTGGCAAATGTTTTTTTTAAGCGCTAAATTACTGTGCTGCACAAACCATATGCCTGTTAAAATAAGTCAACCACTGCCAGAGTTATAAGCATTTGAAAATAAAATGGTTTTCGCAGTTTCGAAACTTCTCAGACTCCTTCGGTGCATCGTCTTGATGACCCATACCGAGTTCCGTAACAATTCGTTCATGTGTTCAAAAAAATACAGCATTATAGAACATTTAGAATTCAAAATGGCCAACAACCAAAATGGCCAATCTGGTAAAATTGCATATCAGTCGACTCGGCATGATGCCCTGAATCTAGAGAGACCACTTTTATGATTTTGGACAAACCGTTCAGAAGTTATAAGCAAAACGTAGCAATTTTTCGTATCTCTGGACCAGGTGGCGCTGCGCCAAAACCCAGCATGTAGCCTTAGGTCATGTTTGTGATGACATGGACCAAGTTTGGTCTGAATACGATAAAGTGTTGCAGAGATACAGCCTTATGTCTGTTTTTGCAAGCGATACGTAAAATTAATTTGCGTGGTAATCGGGAACGACTTGCAGCGTTTTTATGAAATCCATAACTTTTTGTAGGCATGGTCTGGAGATGATCTGGTTAAACGTTGGTGAGAATCGGAGCAACGGCCTAGGAGGAGTTCGAAAAAGTAGCTTTTTTGGATGATTAAAAAATGGCGGACAAATTATCATGACGGAAATGACATCATAGGGTGCAATCGAATCGGCTTGAGCCAAGGAATGAGAGGACAAAAATTGTGATTCTAGACATTATGGTTCAAAAGTAGTGGTTAGCATGGATAGCATAAACTTGAGTGAAACTTTGGACAGTTGGTGGCGCTAGAGGGATTGAGTTGGAGACTCCAAATTTGCTATGAAGACTTTTCAGACTGTCCTCTATCAGTGTACCAAATGTCATAACTTTCCCGCAAGCGATTCTATGGGCTGCCATAGACTCCCAGTCAGAGGAAGAATAATAATAGGAACGGGAACAGATTATGCACCTTCGATGCTTGGCCCCTAATAAATTGCTTTATTAAACAGAATATTATTTATTTATATATATATATATATATATATATATATATATATATATATATATATATATATATGAAGAGTTCAGATGCAAAAGCCTCTAAATGCCATTTGAAATTTTCTTTTTTAATGATGATTTTTATCAAACTTGTATATTTAAGTTCAGTAATTTCACTTAAATAACAATTAATAGGCAATTATCATTGCCATTTAAGTAAAATCACTGAACTTAAATATACAAGCTTGATAAAAATCATCATTCTAGAAGAAAATTTCAAATGGCACTTAGAGGCTTTTGCATCTGAACTCTTCATATATATATATATATATATATATATATATATATAAACTGTATATATATATAAACTGTATATATATATAACTATGTAATAGTCAAAATTCCCCTGTGGCAAAGCTAAATACATGGCAAGAAAGTTGAGCTTGTGGTATCCGACAAACGGTCCTGCCGCAGTTACTTCTAAACAACATGCACCCTCTTTTTCCATCTTTTCTCAATTTGCAGAAGTGCTGTGGCTACATGTGGAATGTCAAATCTGGAAGCTGCTTACATCTCATCAATAAGGTCCCCAGTGAGTCTGAACTCTCTCTATCACTGAGATCTCTTAACAAAATAAGTAATGAATAGGAAAACTGCCTAATTTGTCTCTCGAAGAGTCATTTTATACCTTAAAGTAATGAGACAGAAATTAAATGAGCCATCAGTTTAAGTATGGAGAAGACTTTAAATAGAATATGAAAGAAGTTGTATTGCCATACAAATTAAGAAGCTTTTAATGCTTTTTAAAGATATGCCGACCTAGATCCTACAGATAAAATATTAATTGAGCATGAAAAAAAAAAATTAAATAATAATTATTTATACTGTAAATGTTGATTAAATGCATTTAGTTTTCTACAAGTATCCTGACGTACCCAGCTAATTAAGCTGTGGCCTACTCATTGAGGGCTGGTTGTAAGTGTTTTAGGTGTTTTCAGTACAGCATTAAGAGTTTAGCCCTACTTTTCCCCTGAAGAAAATAGGTCATAAGGTTTTGGACCTAAAACTGGGGTAATGTGAATACTTATAAATAGATTTAAAGCTTTGGCAACAATAAACTAGGTCTCAGAAATAGCCCTTTCAAAATTCTCCAAGCCACTTCAATGTTCAGAAAGGGATCCAATTCTTTCCCTATCCTCATGCATTCAGACGGTCTTCTCGTCTGCATCTCTGCAAATAAGATCAATGGAAATCCAAGAGCACTAGGGCTCCCAGGAGAAATAAACACAAACACGGCATTGTCAGCTAAATTATAAAGCAGCAGAAAGGCTAGCATTTGGTGGTTATACACAATAAATCCTCTGTAAGTCAACAGAATATTAAATGAGAGATTCCGCCCTCCACCCTATACAAAATAGTATGGAAAATTCCTATAGTATGTTCTGCAGAGGCTATGATACTCTAATACTATATCACAAATTTTAAAAAAGTTAAGAATTTATCATCATAATCAGGTATATCAAAACTAAACACTAGATTTCCATGCAAGCAATATTTATTATACATGTACTTAAAAACTAGTGCTGTCAAATGATTAAACTATTTAAATGCGATTAATCTTGATTAATTAATCATAGTTAACTTGTGATTAATAATCACACATTTTTATCTATTCTACTGTAAATGTCTCTTGATTTCTTTCTCTCACACTATTTTTTCTCATTTTAATGCTCTTTGTCAACATGGAAAAGTGGATCGGCTTGCTTTGTGCAAATGTTTTTTATTGAAAACAACATTGGCATATACTGTGTTCAATTTCACACTAACATTCTTACTTGGAGCAAATAATCTGTCACACAATGTAACACTGTCCATCAATAAAAGGGTGAAAAAAAATACTGAAGAGGTACTGATATTGACGAGGGGGCGGAGAATTCGCATCATCTGTGTGTGTGTGTGCTTGGCAATCAAGTGGTGTTTCAGACTGGACGTGCTGCGATGATGATAGCTCAGTTCACAACGACAAAACACACAGATCACTTTGGTCTTGTCAATGAGACCATTTGGCAACTTTTTAGTAAAGTAAAGTTTCCTTTCAGAATCTTATTGGCATCCATTTTGGCGTCTTGCGCTCGTCATCCACACAATGAACTCACCAACTATTTGCCCGGCTCACAAGCCCAAACAAGTGTGCGCGGCGTGCCTGTTGTTTTGTTTCCGGTCTAGCTAGATTCGCTTGCGCTTTGGTCGACGAAGCAACAAAACGTCGTCACGCGGCGCAAGCCATTGAAATGAATGGGTTTCATAGTGCCACGCATGCCACATCCTGTTGCAAAAGCATATAAAAAAAACCTATAACGTTTGCTAGGCCAAAAAGACCATTAATCGCGCGATAAAAAAATTGACACCGTTAAAATGGGTTTGCGTTGACGCCGTTAAAATGCGTTAATGCCGTTAATAACGCGTTTAACTGACAGCTCTATTAAAAACCTTTTCTTTTCTGGCTTATACCTTATGAATTTCTATTTAAATAAATATTATTTAAACTGCTGACTAGATGCATAAATAAAAATGTATAAATATAGATGTACAAAAACAAAACAAAATGAAAAAAATAAACAAAAAAAATAAAAATAAAAAATAAAATATAATAATACACCCAAACCTTGCATAGGTCTTGCTTACCGCCCAGGACTTGCTCAGTCTGAAGATGGGTGCGCTCTGAAGAGCTGAGACCACCGACACCAGAGAGTGCAGGTTATTCAACTCAAGCAGTTTCTACAAAAACACAGATATCACACAGTCTTAATAAACATAACCCACTTACATGACTTACATTAGACAACTGTAGTCTTCATATAAATCAGGACCCACTAAATTAAAAGCCTTCTGATTTTCATAACCTCTGATGCTCTTTGGCCATTTTTGACCGAACAATTTCAAGGTCTGAAATTTTTTGTTCATGTTTTACTTGGTACAAATGGTACAAAACATGATAGAGGTTTTGGTATGTGAAAGCAAACAAACAAACAAACTAACTAAATTCGAAAAGGTAAGAAGTACATTTAAAAAAGAAAAATGTAAAAGATAATTGCGACTTTTTAATCTCACAATTCATTTTTTTTCTCACAATTGCGTGATACAAATTTAATTAAATTTTGAGAAAATAAGTCAGACTTGCAGAAAAGAGTCACAATTCTGACTTTTTTTTCTTGCAATTCTGTTCTATTCTCAGAATTGTGAGATATAAACTCTCAACTGCAAGTTATAAAGTCCACTTCTGAGGAAAAAAGACTTTTTTCTCAGAATTACGAGTTTAGAGTGTATCTCACAATTCTGACTTTATATCACGCAACTTAAAACAAAAGAATTGTGAGATAATAAGTCACAATTACCATTTATTTTTTTTATTCCATTGCAGAAACAAGCATTTTTCATAATACAAATCTTCAAAGTGTCTTCTTTAAAAAAAGACCAAACTTAAGTCTGTGCTCCAAAACATTCAATATTTATGAAGTTTTAGTTTAATAGTATTTAGAAATGTAGTTGTATTTAGAAATTATATTTTCAAGTCTACACTCAAAAAGTGGTTAACAGGTAATAAATTGATTATAATTACTGTATAAATATAATTTAATACCATAAAATACTAATACTTAATATTATATATACACAAACAAACATTATTAAATGAAAATATAGACCGTACATTCAATTAATTTGGAAAAAAAAAGCTAACTTTGTAATGCATGCGATAAGCACCAGAGGGTTAAAGTCAGTGCACAAAGATTTGTTTTATATTAATTTATGTTCTGTCTTCACTCAATGTTTTCTGGTCTGGTCTTGTCACGCTAGTCTCTTTTTTTCTTTTAGGCTGACCTCTGTAAAGCACTGTTTCAGCCACCTTTATGGAATAAAGTAAAGCAGCACTACGTTTTTTTTTTTTTGTTTGTTTTTTTTCCCAGTCATTGGCCAATCTGCTTCATCCATTAGCGTAGCCGTTAGAGTAGCCCACTCAGGCTAACTAGGGCATGTCCGCCGGTAGCAGGGTATGCAGCTCTTTCAGGTTTGGCAGGTAGAGCAGGGTGAGTGTTCAACCATAAGCGGGTTTCCTGTCTCATGGTACATTGAGTTTCAGCAGAGCATGTAGGCTGATTGAATTCACAGCAGTCTGTGGCTCTCTGTTTGTGTAACTGTTGGCACGAGTGACAAGATAAGCATCTAAATAACCACACGATAGTTTGGGTAATTTCTCAAGTACCATTTCAATAGAAATATTTAAAGTTAAATGTATAAAATTTAAAAAGTTTGTTTATGCTTTTATTAAAGCAAAATATCCTATTTAATTAGACATGCAGAATCAAAATTACTGGATTTTTTTTTTTTGAGACATTCCAATCAAAATTTTAATCTTGATCATACTGTATAAGTGTTATTTTGATTTGCAAATCAAAACAAAACTCAAAAGCAATAAATTCCATGCTACTGTCAATTTAAATAATCAGTGGATAGCAATTTACTATGAACAATAGAAGTGGACTGGAAATATAAAACCACAACTTTTAATTTTAAAAAGTTAATTTTAAAATATAATTTTACGGTTCATTCACACATTAATTTTCAAGGCAACTCTGCTATCTCAATAAATTACATTCTAAAAGCAACTACAAGACAGATGGAAAGTCAAATTTGCGTGAAATGATATGAGAGAAGTTATAAAGAATAGCAGTTATACTGCACTGCGTAGTTAATCACTTTTAGATGAGAAAATAGCTGTGATGAGAAAATACAGAATTTGGTTCAGGAGTAACAGTGATGACATATTTGACACTATAGTCACTTTTGACACTATTTGATACTTTTTATATTCTCCCTGTGTTGTTTGTTATCGTCATTTCAAGATAATTAAGAAATCGAATGGCTTCGTCTTTCTAACAGTTGGAGGCAATGAAAAAACTGACATATTGAAAGCTGTTTAAACGGTGTCTGAGATGAATCAGAGTCAGATGATGTCACGAACCCACACACAGGAAACAGGGATAGATAGATCCAGAAGCAGTTTAATGGCTGTCCGTAATCATAAACCAGTCCATAACAAACACTAAACAGCCAGGGTATATATACACACAGAACATGAAAATCATGATGGGGAACAGCTGAGTGCAATGAACAGTGTTGAGCGCAGACAAGGATTGTGGGGAATGTAGTTCCAAAAGTTAATAACACCGTTGGGGAAGGAGGACCTCTAGTGGACACCACCGACACCGGCTCCGGAACAGCGATAGGAACAGACCCTGGCTCCGGCTCAGGAACAGACAATGGCTCAGGAACAGACACCGGCTCCTGCTAAGGAACAGACCCTCGCTCCAGTTCAGGAACAGACACTGGCTCCTGTTCAGGAACAGACAATGGCTCCGGCTCAGGAACAGAAAATGGCTCCGGCTCAGGAACAGACAACGGCTCCGGCTCAGGAACAGACACCGGCTCCTGCTCAGGAACAGACAATGGTTCCAGCTCAGGAACAGACACCGGCTCGGGCTCAGGAACAGACAATGGCTCCAGCTCAGGAACAGACACCGGCTCCTGCTCAGGAACAGACCCTGGCTCCTGTTTAGGAACAGACACCGGCTCCTGCTCAGGAACAGACAATGGCTCCGGCTCAGGAACAGACACCGGCTCCTGCTCAGGAACAGACCCTGGCTCCTGTTTAGTAACAGACACCGGCTCCTGCTCAGGAACAGACCCTGGCTCCGGCTCAGGAACAGACACTGGCTCCGGCTTAGGAATCACGGACATGAAAGGTCTGAAAGGTGTCTCCAGGATCCGAGCCAGACGCTCCAAATAGTCGGTCATTGCCCCCGTGGCTGAGAGAATAAGCCCAGAGAATGAGCAGTCTCTGGTACAGCCTCCGGAATGGCATCGGGCTGCTCGGGCATGGCCTCTGGGTCCTCTGGGATGCTGACCTCCTCCTTCCATCTTCCATTGGGCCTTCCACCTCTCCAATCTGATAGTTGGCTGCCATGGTTTCCTCAGTCCTGCGAGCAGCCATGGTGAAATAATAAAATAAAGTTTTCGGCGGCCCCATGGATCCATTCATGACGGAGTCGTTTTGTCGTGAACCAACACACAGGAAACAGGGATAGATCCAAAAGCAGTTTAATGGGTGTCCGTAATCATAAACCAGTCCAGGCAATGATCAAAATCCATATAAACAATCCAGAAACGAGAAATGAAACTAAACAAGAACAGGCAAGAACTCAGAAGTGGTGTGACGAATAACAACGACTCTAGAGGACCTCTAGTGGCATGGAACATAAAGCCTTTTTTATGATGCTCCCATTCTTGATTGATGCCATAAACACTTACCACTCCAGCACAACCCCTCTACTCGTTCTCATTGGTCAAAAATAGAAGGCTTTAATCCATCAAGACTTGCATAACATCATTAAAATTGCCCATTGTTAAAGGACAATTCTTGAAAGTGCCCACAAAAACCTTGTGTTTAATGAATTTCTATTAAAACAAGTTATAGTAACGTCTGTGCCAAGGACAATTACCAGGATATCAAATGCAATTCAGATGTGAATACAAATATTAATAATTGTTTTACTGAAGTTATAGGGTTATTTATCTGCTGCCAAGGCAACAAGCACAAAGCAAAGAGAACTAATGATGAATAAAGTAATCAAGCTGCACTGTCTGAGGGAACAGTGAAAACCAAAGAATGTCTCACCTTGGCAATTTTGATGAAGTGGCCCAATATTTCTGCTCGAATTTTCAGTGTTTGAGCCGTCAATATCTCCCTCACTGCCCAGAAACTGACCTAGGAGAAGAAAAGGTCATATGTAAATTAGTGCTGTCAACGTTAACGCATGCAATACATTTTTGTTCAGTTTAACATATTGAATTAATTAACACAACTGCCTGTGAATGTCCTAACACACGCACGATGCTATGGCAAGCCAAAGTATTCATATATGCCTGGTTGGGCATCTGATTGCACACTGACCCGTCAAAAGTGTGCAATTTGATAGCAAAACGCGCATCCTTGATTCATTTTTTTTAATCGATTGACAGCACTCAAGACAAGAACTGGGATCCACAATGTACTAGAAGAAATTCCCAAAATAGCATCTCTGCACAATAAAGTTAGGATTGAAACCATTTATTTGAAACTACTTTAGTGAAGGCAGATCCTGAAGGTTTACATCATTTATAGCTATATCTGATGACAAATACCAAAGGTTCTCAGCAAAAATAACTCAAAATGGACGCAGACAGATCAACAATAAATAAAAAATAAAAAATAAAGGAAATCTATCTAAATGTATGTGATGAGATTTCCTCTTATTCACAAGCTTATCAAAAAGCCTTTTGATAATAAGACTAGGCAGCATAACTGAATCTTTTTTTTCCTGGAAATATAAGACATTTGCTGTTAATGATGACATTAAAAAGACCGAAATGGCAAATGTAATTGCAGACTTCTAATGGCCACTTCCAAGACATTTAAGCTCTTTCAAAATGAAATGCCATGTAAATAAATCTCATATTCATTTCTTTTGTATACTGACCTTCATGAGCTGATATTTATAGCCTTATTTTCAGAACTGGGGATAAAGAAAGAGTTGTGCATTTACAGTAAAGGGTATGGGAATAGATGAATTGGTCAGGTCATTATTTTGTGTGTGTGTGTGTGTGTGTTTGCGTGTGTGTGTGTGTACAGAGAGAGGACACAGGGACTCAAGCCAATGCCACATTCATAACCGAAATATGCCCTTCAAAATATAAATAAGAAATAAATAACATAATTACATTATATAATATATATAAATGATCCTTAATTCTTCTCTTTTTGACAAGAAACCCCCCAAGTGTCAACAACTTCATTTTTACAGGTTCATGGCTGGTCTGAGCTCAAGATTTAAAGGGATAGTTCACCTAAATATGAGAATATTCTATTATCATTTACCTATTCAATTCTATTTTGTCATTCAAAACCCAAAAGATATTTTTCATGACCATGTATTTACTTTTTCCCACTGAGACTTTAAAAAAAATCTACTGTTTTTTTAAAGCTATTGTTCCCTTTTATTATCAGTCTACTGAAGCCTGATTGGCATAATGACATTATATCACAATGTCCAATGGTGTTCAAATTCGCAAAATAGGGGCAGAAACGCTGTGGTACTGCGGGGCCGTGGAACTTTGGTATTTCTAAAACCCTGCATATATATATATTCACACATTCACCTAAAGGATTATTAGGAACACCATACTAATACTGTGTTTTACCCCCTTTTGCCCTCAGAACTGCCTTAATTCTAAATGGCATTGATTCAACAAGGTGCTGAAAGCATTCTTTAGAAATGTTGGTCCAAATTGATAGGATAGCATCTTGCAGTTGATGGAGATTTGTGGGATGCACATCCAGGGCACGAAGATCCCGTTCCACCACATCCCAAAGATGCTCTATTGGGTTGAGATCTGGTGAGTCTGGGGGCCATTTTATTACTGTGAACTCATTGTCATGTTCAAGAAACCAATTTGAAATGATTTGAGCTTTGTGACATGGTGCATTATCCTGCTAGAAGTAGCCATCAGAGGATGGGTAAAAGAATGGGTACATGGTGGCCATAAAGTGTTGTAACGAGTGTTTTTTTGAGTAAAAGTTGCTCTTCTATCAGCTTGAATCAGTCGGCCCATTCTCCTCTGACCTCTAGAACCAACAAGGCATTTTCGTCCACAGGACTGCCGCATACTGGATCTTTTTCCCTTTTCACACCGTTCTTTGTAAACCCTAGAAATGGTTGCGTGTGAAATACTCAGACCGACCCGTCTGGCACCAACAACCATGCTGCGCTCAAAATTGCTTAAATCACCTTTCTTTCCCATTCTGACATTCAGTTTGGAGTTCAGGAGATTGTTTTGACCAGGACCACACCCCTAAATGCATTGAAGCAACTGCCATGTGATTGGTTGATTAGATAATTGCTTTAATGAGAAATTGAACAGGTGTCCCTAATAATATTTTAGATGAGTATTATATATATACAGTATATATATATATATATATATATATATATATATATATATATAGAAAGAGAGAGAGAGAGAGCTTTCTGAATTTTCGAGTCACAATTATTTTGCACAATTTATATTTTGTATGAATCAAAAAATTAGCGTAGTGCATTTGCTTCACAGTAAACAAACTTTTTTTGCCACTTTCATTTTTTTAAGTGCTTTCACTTATGCAATGTCTTCTTTAAAATGAGAACAACCTTAGGTCTGTATTCCAAAGCATTCATGCATTGCAACCGTTTGAACCAGTTCAGATCTATTCAAAGTTTGCGCACAAAGACATGTCAATTTGCTTAATTCTGAAATTTTTTAAGAGAAATTGTTGTTGACTAGGTGGTTCTTGGATGTTGTTTTGATTTTTTCAAAAGATGGTTTTCTGTCTGAATATTTAAGATCCACTGTTGTAAAACAATAAAGTAATGCCTTTAATGTCCACGAGTGTGCCACTGTAGCAGACACCCAAAAACTTTGATGTATTAAGAGCAATGTGGATGCCATTAGTCTGGATTTTTTTTTTTTTTTTTGTTTGTTTAGAAAAACCCATCAACAGACATTTCTGTTGGATGTTTCCAGTTCTGTTTCTTATATATTCTGTTATTTAAAGGAGTTAATACAGCAGCTGCTGGATGAATTAACTATATGGACCAGCATTTGTCTATCTGAAGCACCTGTTGCACAAAACTGTGATATCCAGTAAAAAGGTATCATGACATTTAAAACAGCCAAAGCTGTGAATTTATGTACAAGTGGACACCTATTACATTAAAAGTCTTATGTGATAACTTACAGCCGACATCATCTACATTAAATCTTCGTTATCTGCAATACAGTGAGGTTTCTGAACACAATCCATGCCAAATCAGCAATGTCTGCAACTAGAATACAGTGTCACAATAGAGTTTTCTCATTCCTCTTTGAGTATAATGACGACACATTGACCTCCACTATATATGTTTTATTTCTGGTGGTGCTAGTGGACCCAAGTCTTAAACCCTGGATAGGGTGATGCATGAATAAGTAAATCCACCTCTGATCAGCAATTTTACACTCTATACCTCTGTTAACTGCTATATAAATATGTCTTTCAAACTGCTACATGAGGAAAAAACCCTGAGATCTTGTCGAAATTATCGACCATTATATCAGGAAATAACCAGTGAAATATTCAATATTATCTAAATCAAACAAAATACCTTACAATTACATTTCCTTGTGCCAGAATTACACATACAGCAGGATGTAAGTTTTTAGCTCCAGTCACCACCAAGTTTAGCAAACAGGGAATTAATACCGCAGTGAAGTTTTGCTAGTGCAGATTTGCTTACCTGGTTAAATCTCCGTGTGAAGGCCACAACGTTGGGAGAAAGGCTGTGCTTCTCCTTCTTGTTCCAACCACAGCTCGCCAGCTCCTAAACAAACAAGTAGTCCTTTCAGCAGTGTTGTAATATTTAAGTCTAAGATGTTAGTTTATTAGTTTTTTAATAACGTGGACAGTCCCTTTTTGAAAGAAAAAGAGCAGCTTTAGCCTCTACGGCTAATTTCCAGCTATAGTCCCCGGCCAGTTGTCAATAGGCATAAATGTCATTTATGACATTTATGTCATTATGTCATTTTTAAATGTCATATTATCTACTCTACCCTTTAAAGGTTTGTGCTCAGTACAGCTTTTAATGTTTTTCAAAGATGTTTCTTTAGACTTATGCTGAATTTATTTGATCAAAATTAAAGTTAAAACAGTAATATTGTGAAATAGTATTACAATTTAAAACCAGTATTTTCTATTTTATCATACATTTTGAAATACATTAATGTAATGTATTTGTGTGATGCAAAGCTGAATGTTCAGCATCATTACTTAAGTCTTCAGTGTCGCATGATCTTTCAGAAATCATAATAATATGCTGATCTGGTGATCGAGAAACAATTTTTATTATTTTCACGGTTTAAAAAAGCTGTGCTGTTTTATATTATTGGGGAAACCATGATTATGTATTTATTTTGATAAATAGAAAGTTCAAAAGAACAGTATTTATTTCAAATTGATTTTTTTTATAACAATGTAAAAGTTTTTACTTTCTCTTTTGATAAATAATGCATACCTGATGTATAGACCCCATATCTTATTTGTTATAGGCCTTTGTTGCAGGCTTATTTAGAATTTCTTTCTAAATGAATAATAGGAATATTACATTTTGTAGAATAGAAAATAATTCACAGAACAACAGAACACACACCCACTGCCTTCATCTCTTTGACATAAAAAGCTTTGCATGGGGACTTTACATGCTTCTAAGCTTCCTTAGGTTCACAGAGCTATGAACACCAACACTTTTATTGTATCGTGCAGACTAAGAGCAGATGGAAACATTCAAAGGCATTTCAGTTTCGACATGAACTGAGTTTCCATGTGAATAAGCAGCTCAGTCTGGGTACATTACCTTACCAAAATAATTTTGGGTCTGTTTGCTAAGTCATCACTTAAAGCCACACATTTTGTAGGATTGAACAGGATTGTCAGAGAGTGGGACACATGAAGTCTGGTAAGGTACTTATAGACTACCATTCAAACATTTGGGTTCAATAAGATTTAATTTTTGCTTTCTTCTTTAAAAAAAAAAAAAATGTATTCTTTGTATACAGCAAGGATGCATTTAAGTTTTAGCATTTAGTTTTTTTAAGTAAAAACTTGTACGTTTTGCAAAAGATTTCTATTTTGAATGGATTAATACTATCATGCGAAGAATCCTGGAAAAAGGGATTCACGGTTTCCCTATTAAGCAGCACAAATGTTTTCTACATTGATAATAAGAGATATGTCTTGAAAAATTATTTCTGAAGGATCATGTGACACTGAAGACTGGAGTAATGACTACTAAAAATTCAGCTTCACCATCACAGGAATAAATTACAGCTTAAATTACATTTTATAATACAAATATAGAAACATTTATTTTAAATTGTAATAATATTTCACAATTGTTTTGATCAAATAAATGCAGCCTTGTTCAGCATTACAAAATTGTCCTGACCTCAAACTTTGATTAGTAGTGTATAGTAGTTGTAAATTTCAATTATTATTTTGCACCCAAAATTGTCATATTTCAGTTTTTCCATTATCATTTTACAACCTTCTCTCTGACCATTTTTTATTTATTTATTTATTTTAATTTTATACAAATTTGATTTTTTGAATATTTCGTTTTGCTGCTGGCCCTTTAAGAAACACCCCTACAGGTAGATGTTATAACTACACCATTCATCACATATCCTTTAATTGCTCCATCCTCTTTGCAGAGTCAGCATTACATTGTGACAGGATCACCAAACAATCCCACTGAAATATAACTGAAATGATCAGGACCCTTGTTAAAAATAAACTTGAGAGCGGCATGTGCCATATGTATAGCACACATATTAATGAATTATGCTTAATTTTTCTCTTATATCAATAGTTCTTTAGACTATGTTGACTTCTGAAAGTTACAGTACGTTTCATTTTCATTTTTATCTCAAAAGATTTATGAGATTTATACTTATGATGGAAAGTCTACAAACTTTCTGACTATCATTTCTTTAAAATGTCTGTAGCCAAAGAAAACTGTGAAGCACACCACTTTATGCAAAGAGACTCTGTCTGCTCACATTTCTCACACAACACTGAAAATGTGGTTCTAGAACCGACATACATCTGAAATCTATTAATCCAGATGCCCGTGTCAACTTCACGAACATCTCCTTTTAGAATCCGCAATAATCCTTGAAGCATGCAGCTGAAATATTGATGAATGAATGTATGTACATGTGGTCGAACGCAAAAAAATTTACTTATACTAGTATTTCCACAGGCCAATGGAACTTACAGGCAAACGGCTCAACAATAACAAGACCACTTACGTTGTTAAAAATGTCAGGGTCGGAAAGACTGAGTGTAACGGACGGGTCCTGAATTAGTGGCTGGTGAGGTCAAACTCAGCATTTTTAAAATTAGCTCTTTTCCAGTGGGAACTTCTGCTGTAGGGATATTAATTCAATGTGTTTCACACTCTCGTCCTCTTCAGAGAAGGAATCCCATGATAGATGTTTTGTTGCTTTTTAGAAAATCAAATCAACTGAAAAATGTATGCGTGTAAAAAGCTGCCGCAACGCAAACATGTCTAAAGGAATGAAGGGGGAACATTCATTTTGACATAAACCGAGCTCATAATCCACAAATTCCCCCAACACCAATTAAAACCACTTTGAGTCAAGAACTGACAATTTTTCAGCAATAAAACCATTGGCAACACGTTGACTACAAGAAGATAAACATGACAGCGCAGTTAGCAGTAGAAAAGAAAAAAAAAACATTTTTACCCATGACTGAAGAGATTTCAGAGGGAGGATGAGGTAAAATAGTTCTTTCCTGTTTTCAATCCAGACTAATGTTTTGGTGCCACATATCTACATATTCAAACTGCACAAACAGCAGGCCTTATTGAGTATCCTTTCATTTAGTTGTTTTTTAGATGATACAGGGAGAAGAGCAATACCAGTGTCCAATATTAAATGATATAGACCCTTTTACAGTTGGTAAACATGGTGACGTTTTTTGTGGGCGGAGCTTAGGTGGAGGCAGAAAGATCCATCTGGCCGCTTCACTAACGCTAGTTAGCAAGGATTGTTAGCTTGTTTTTTTAACAATGACTGGAGAAAATCTGATATTATCTTAATGTGTAAGGTCACTCAGTGTCCAGGACCACGATTGTTATTTCCAAAAGTTATTTTTAACGGACAGAACCAGATTAGCCGACCTGTAGCCGCCTACACGCTCACTCAATGTATGGATGATCTAACAGGATTAACGTACGTTGACTCGGTTAAGTGGCCTGACTTCTACACCTAGCTTATAGAGAAACCAATCGTAAAGAGAAACTGAGGGCATATAAATCTTTAGATGCCTATATGGTCATGTACAAGACTTGTGTGTATGATCCGCAGTTCTGCCGAGTCAGCACTGAGACCACGACAATGTAAAGAGTGACATTACAGTGCGATTTTAATGATGTGAATATTTTCTAGAAATAAAAGTTCCAGATACAGCATATTCATTTTTCATCAATTCTTGCACCAAACAACACAACAAGATGACATTTAATAATAGTAACAATTATTTAAGCTCATTATGTAGCCGAATCTGTGCTGTTTTGCATTGACCGCCTCCAGTTTTCACTTTGTTTTGCCTCCAGCTAGCGCCGTGACGTAACTGTGACTTCGGCGCAAAAGGGGTCTATTAAAGGGGTCATGAACTGGCTTTTTAAATTTTATTATATTGTTGTCTAAGGTCAACTTATGACGTTCGCTTGGTTTTTGCATTCAAAAACATCAAAATTAATAAGTAATAAGCTATTTTCTACCCTAGTTTTGAGCCTATGTCAAAAACGCTCGGTTTTTATGGGTGCTGTTCTCCACTGCTGTGAGTGGAGAACAGTTTTGCATATTATAATGAGTTTCGACTCACCCGTCGATGCACTTGGGGGAAATTGTTTTAAAAACGTCCAATAAAATGGCAAACGGAATAATTCGCCCATAGGCTGCATGTTCGACCCAGAGTCTGTGTGTTGCACCATTCCTGTCAGATCCAATATAGACAGAACAGCACCGTTCTTTAATCTTAATCGGTCTGCAAATCCAGTCTTGTTTACAAAACAAACCTCAGTAAAATGAAGCGAACGTCATTAAAAATAAAGTTTAACCATGCAGTCCTATTGGAATCCAGAGGAAGCTTATGCAGCGACTGTCTTCAGCGACTGAATCACTGTCTTCCACAACCAGGCATAGCACAATCTTTATTGCTCGGTAGCTCTATGCGGTTTGTCATCACGAGGTAGGCATCTATGTTATTTAGCTATGCGTGTAATGCGCAAATCGGTGGGCGGGGCTAAACCAGCCGTATTGAAGTAGGCGTTGATCATCTTCTGCCGGGGTGGTGTTTTATCCTCTTTGACATCATAGTTCCCCACTTTTAAAAACGAGTCGTTTGCAGAGCGTGGAGTCAATAAAAGCTTTTATTGGACTAACAAGGACGTTTTCAGTTCTGAAACTTACAGGATATTCTTATAATATGATGACCTAATATGATGACCTCTTAGATGTCAAAAGCTGAAGGAAATTTTGATTTCTCAGTTCATCACCCCTTTAAAAAATGTTTTGACTGTCACCTTTGATCAATGTATCCCTGCTGATTCTGAATAGTATTAATTTCTTCCAAAAAAACCCAAAAACTCTTGCTGACCCTAAATCATTATATGGTAGAGTATAATTAAATATAGAAAATAAATCTGATTTTGATTAAGCAAGCACTGAATAGTTTCTGGCCCTATTTTGTCTCCAATTCATGAAATCCAAATTCTCAACACACCAAACCAACCACACAGGAATGGTTGCTGAGAAACTCATAAAGCTACCTAATAATGTGGCTACGTGGAAAAACAATAAATAACAATAAACCCGCAGATTTTTTTTAAAAAATGGATTCCCTCTGGAAAATGTCTGTGGCTGTTAGTGAGAAATGATTCCAATAAGAGAACTCAAATCCACACTGACTCAATGCACACAGCTCACAGAGATGATGTCATGTTAACTAAGGCCTGCAAAGATGTGGGTCAATCACTATCCTACTTTAACACTCACATCACTCATGCCAATTCATAGTCTGGATAAAGTTTACACAACCCTGACTCATTCTTACTAAATGTTAAGATCCATGGGCTCATTTCTCTGAAAAAGGCCAGAGATTCACACCAAGGTCACTATGAATGGAAACCAAATGATTCCAGACTTCATGTTAAGAAAAGAACCTTGGTTAAGACTAATTGGCAAACAGACTGCCAAATCATTCTCTGCTCGAGCATTACGCCATCACCGGGTAGACTGTCTACACGGTAGAAACCTGAAAGAATCCTGGCTGACATTTCTTCATGATACAGTTGTTTTCTCATCACTATAATCATATAAACTCTAAAATGTGAGTCAGACCATCCAATTTTTCATGTTATGTCTTTTCATATGACATTCCACAATTAATTTGTCTTCGACCATGTGATGAAATTAGATTTTTAATTTTAATTAGATGGGTTTTTTTTAATATTCGATTTCTTTGTTTGAAGTATTTTCATTCAATTTGATTAAGATAATATTAATAATAACAATAACTATTATTTTTTAATCATTTTAAGTCATCCTACAGCTCCCTTTCCTGAGTTTCCTGAGGCTCCTAGTGGTTCCTGGTCCCCCAGGTTGAGAACCACTGCTCTACAGGCATTTATAGCCTGAAAATATTGATAATCTTCGTTTTGTCATAATTTTGTGAAAATTACAAAGGTTCATATGTTATTGGTCATTCATCACTGTTTTCTTTATTTACTCCAGAACCTGCCATACAACCATAGACCACATAACATATACATACAGTAATAAACACTTATGTTATGAATAACAGCTAACCTGCTAAATGCCCAAATGTAAAAGTCAATGAAAATTGATCTCCCTGAAAACTACACAAAACCCACAGAAAACTGAAAAGTGTCTTGGCAGACCTGTTTTTACTACCTGTACCTTCTCACTGATCCTGGTCCAAATCTATCAAAATTGTTATGAGCACCTTCCCATCTTCACATAAAATGTTAATTAAGGAAAGTACTGAGGGCTCTGTAACTGCAGAGGATAAGCTCTAGTTAAAGTAATGGAAGACTGTGGAGCTAGACTCTGTGGGCACTGTGGTCTTTGTATGTGTGTGTGTGTGTGTGTGACTGCTATAGTGCCACGTCACACTAATCTGTAGCACCAGAGAGCACATGAGATCAGTTCACAGCTGTGAGGCTCATGAGGATTGATAAACACAGAGGATGTGTATGTAGTTGCCATGGATATCTGTCTCACCTCAGGCTGTATCGCTTTGAATACAGGAGCATCCATCAAAGTGATCTGACTCTGCAAAATAAAAGCTACAATGTTAAACTGACAACAATTTCATGCATCAAAAGAATAGCTCACTCAAAAATAAAAATGATTTCCTAATTAAATCATCTCAGATTGTTCCAAGCCTGTATGCTTTTTTTCTTGTGAAGAACACAAAATGAGATATTTAGCAGAACGTCCAGGCAGCTCTTTAGTATCAGCTGTGGTCACCATTTCAATGAATGGGAAAAAGTAAATAATAATAATTGTTGGGTGAAATACTACATTAACATTTAGAATTAAATTGCAGGGCACTTAATTTTTAGCATTTTTACTTGCACGTTTTTGTCAGTGATTATCTCATGTGAATGTACATGTTTAAATTCATAGCATTTTACAAAAGTACTATTGACTTTTTTAGGGGTGTTTGTTATTGCAGTGGAAAAAGTTACTTATGGCACCTTTAAAGGGGTAACTTGGCAATTCTAGTCATTTCTTCGCTGATTTTCACTTTTGTTGTCACATGTTGTCTCATCGAGCTCCCCCTACAGCTGTGGAGCATATAATTCACAACACTGTCTTAGAAAAACTCACCTGCCTCCTCCCTCTTTCTACTGCTTGCTCATGAGCATTTGTTATTATCGGAGCCGACCAAATTTATTGTGTTGAGCTATGCCTACCGAGGTGTGTAATACATCATACACAGTATCATATGGCGTATGTGTTAATGTCGAATTGCCATAAAACAGTTTGTGTTTCTCGCTCGATCTCACCTTACCGGGACGTTAGTCCCCTTGTTGCAAGGTTGGTTTTCCGCCTGGGAACGCTGGAGGGAGCGGGGAAAGTCACCATTCTCACCAGAACCGGTTATTTAACCATCCAAATGTTTTCTAAACGTTTTTAATCAAGTTGAAATAGTTGCCAAGCTCCCCTTTAATTGAGCATAGTGGGTTTCTATAAATATAAAAATAGATATATAAAATGAAAAGGTAACTAAATACTTGACGTTACTATAATTATGGGATGGAAAGTTGTAAATAAATGTAAAAAACATGTAAATACTAGCCCATTGTGCACTTAAAGTCAGAGTTGGTATTGACATGAATAAGTGTGAGCAATGGTCTGATAATATACAGTATATATAATGATGAAGTCATGAAATGTGTAAATAGTTTAAAATCACAGCAATATCCATGTCAAACCCTCATTGAGAGGCACAAAGAATAGTTTTATTTTTTCACACTTATCTCAGATAAATGTCAACTATCAACTAGTGTTAAAATCAACCAAAAGTAATGCATTTCTTTCCCTTCAACCCTAAACTCAAATCATCTACCTGGATTTTAAATATAATTTTAAAACAACATTCAACTTTAAAATACACCGAACATAAGCTTTGAGTGAGGAACAGACTGAAGTTTAGGTTTATATTAAGTGATAAACTTCCTCTCTGTATCAGTCAATGGGAGTTAAATTGGTAGGGCTTAAACTTAATTTCTGTAGGAAAAAAAGTAAAAAGTTTTTTTTTTTTTTTTTTTTTTTTTTTTTCATGAGACCAGGTATAAACTGGAGTATTTATAAACTTACAGCAAACTCCTCAGGGGTCACTTTGAGCATGTCAAACACCACCGCGTCAAAGCTCTTGGCAGAGTCCAAGCTCCGTCCATCCAGGGACTCAGAACTACTGCTGTCCTGCAAACACAGGAGGAAAACAGTTAGGCAGGAAAGGGAGAGAAAAACTTTAGGAGAAAAATCAGGGATGATATTTCATACACCTATAAAATCCACATGGACAAAAAATCATGGCCAGTTGCACTCTTCCTGCGGACATTTAATCAGTTTAATTACCAATGTCCATCTGAATTACTTTATTCCATTTGATTATTCAGCCCAGATGGTAAAAGTGGATCAGAATGCAACCACATCACTTTATTAACAGGCAATGAGCCAATCCAACCCATATGATAATTAAAGCCAGACAAAAATAGACCACATAACAAAGGCCTGAGAAGGAAAGATACAGTCACTATGAAAAGAACGATTTCTCCATGGCAAATGATCCTGACAGATCCCCTTTGAAGTCTCCCCATTCCATCCAGTAATATCCGTACTGATGTAAAGTCTTATCTGTTCTGTGTGCACTCTTAATTGCTAGCAGATTCGTTAATGCCCTCGTTTCTGGTTATTACAAACGCTGTACGCTACCATTCAAAAGTTTTGTGGAAGAAATTACTGTTATACAGCAAGTATACATTCAATTAAATTGAAAGTTGAACGTAAAGAAATTATGTTACTAAACTTCTATTTCAATTAAATGCTGTTCTTTTGAAAATTATATTAATCAAATAATCCTGAAAAAGGATTCCACAATAATAAACAGAACAACCGTTTTCAATATTGATAGTAATAAAAAAAAAATGTTTCTTGAGCACCAAATCAACATATTAGTATCATATGACACGATTGCTAAAAAAATAAATAAATAAATAAATAAATCAACTTTACCATCACAGGAAGAATTTACATTTTAAAATATATATATAAAAAAAAATAACATTAAACTGTTATACTATTTCACAATCTTATGTTTTACAAAGAGAAAATGAGGCATAAAGCACCACAACTGCAATTAAACTTCTAACTGGCCGATTCGTTTGGGCTAGATCAATCTAAAAATGGTGTTGAAAAATATTTTAGTAAGGCCCCTGTCCCAGCGCAGAAAACCTCTGGCTTTATAGAATTTTTTTAACCCCTTACCTTATGAAACTGTGTCAATTTGCTTCACAAAAATAAATGTGTCACAACTGCTGAACTATCGCTGACTCTCTAGATGAGTTCCAGTTCACACAGCATGACAATGAGTCAATGACATACAGTAACACTGTCTCACTGGAGCAGGATCCTGCCAGTGTGCATTTGAATGGATCAGCATGTATGGATCAGCAGCATGTAACAACCAGCTATTTATCTGATCTGATTCCCCTTTGCAAGCCAATATCAAGTCATTAAACTTGGCCGCTGTCGTTGAACAATCACACGCATCGCGAAGCTGTAATGATCAGCTGCAATAAATCCCTCAGTTATAATCCATTATGCACAGTTTAATGTTCAGTTGGTAACACTTTACAATAATGTTCATTAACATTAGTAAATGCATTACCTAACGTGAACTAACGATGAGCAATGCATTAGTTACAGTGTTTATTAATCTTTGTTAATGTTAGTTAATACAAATACAGCTGTTCATTGTGCGTTCATGTTAGTTCACAGTGCATTAACTAATGTTAACTAATACAACCTTTGATTTTAATAACATATTAGTAAATGTTAGAATTAATATTAACTTAGATTAATAAATGCCGTTTTTGCCGGCCTTTCTGATATTAATCCTGGCAATAAGACTAAATGAAATTAAATAATATATCTATGTAAAAAAAAAAAGATTTAAGGTCAAAAGGTTTATTTCAGGACAGATGCTGTCATGGTTAAACTCTTTCGTAAAAACAAATGGGATATGTTTTAGTACCTGTGTGTGGCGAGAGGTGATGCTGACGCTGGCAGGAAGTCCATTCCTCCTGTACATGCTCCCAGTCAGAAGAGAAGACCCAGATCACAGCCGACCTCAGCTGCTCACCGCCACACACGACCTCTCAGCCATCCCTGCAACACACATGTCACCTTATGTTATGCCCGACTTGGTGTACTTGGCTATTTGGAAAGATTTTGATTTTGTTTTACAAGCCCAATTAAATAGAAATTGTGACTTTAAAAGAAAACTGTTCTTTTACTGTCATAAGATTTAACACAGTCTTACTCCATTTGGGATCTGCTCATTCTGTGGAGCAATGCATAATATAGCCAGAAGAGGGAGGATGTCACCACAAATGCTGCCTCTCTTCCCTCAACATGACTCCTGGATCTGCCATACATCCAGTCAACCAGCCATTTCTTGTTCAAATGAGTCACATACAATATAATAGCCATATTATGAAAAGACCCTGTCGTGCTGTTCTCCTCTGTACTATTAAATGAAATGTTTCAGTCTGTATGGCCATAAGCAATCCAAAATTGAAGTGCAAGAAATATCTACAGATTTTTGCTTTGGTTGTGCTTCAGGAACCACACTTAAAATTTTACATTAAATGGCCACCAAACATTTGATTAAAAATGTTTACAGTGCAAAGGTAAACACATCTGTCCTTTAAAAAAGGTTTTAAATGTATTAAAATGATCCAAAAATGCATAGGGCCAGCAATATGCTAAAATTAGCAACATGATGTAGATTAAAAAGACTGATCAACTGTATGTTTTGTGAAATTAACTGCAGAAGCTAACATTATGCCCTGTTCAGATGTTGTTCAAGTTTTTATATTTGCATTTCATTTATATTATATTTGTATTATTTGCATTTAGCATTGATTTCAGAACAGTATTGCAGAGATGGGACCATTGGGATCATTTGCAAGACACCAGTAAGTCTCAAGTCTTTGCATTCAATTTCGAGTCAAGACAAGTCCCACGTCAAGTCCAAGTCATGCAAGTCTACATTCCAGCACTAAAAAAAAAAAAAAAGGTTGTGGTCCCCCCAAGTATGTCACCCAGGGTTATTATCCACCTTTTTTCGCCACGGATCTGACGCACATCCTATTCTCTCACAACTCTTTCCATTCATTTTTAACTCATTGGGTGTTGTAGTGTCTGGACCAATCACACAAATAATTCATTATATTTAATGAATAATCCAACAAACTCACTCTCCCAAAAAAAGTTCTATGAAGTCAACAGTGGCACTGCAGAACCCATTGTCCTGTTACATGACACCTTAAGACTGGTAAGAGTTTTACTACTTAAGCCTAGTTCACACTACGTGATTTTAAGCCCGATTTAAGCCCGATTTGCAAATCGTTGAGTCGCCGACAAGTCAGGGTGTTATCGCGTGCAAATCGCGGGCGATTAGCGGACGATTAACGCTCGTCAATCCGTTAGTGTGAAAGAGCCAACAACGCACCAAAGACAGCTCGCAGACAGGTCACCGAGCTCAGAAAAATATCTAGCACGATGTCGCGCGACTCAATCTCAGTGATGTCATGAGTACAGCCAATCATAGCAACGCATGGGTTGTTGAGGACACCAGGTAAATCTTACTTTTTCTTTTCTTTTTTGCATTTTTTTTTCTCAGAGCAGATCGTCGAGCAAACAGTGTGCAGCACTAGTTTCTGTCTGACGTCCATATTCGCGTGTTGTGTTCTTCTCTGCAGTTTCGCGTCATTTCTGGTTCGTTTTATTGCGTGGTTTTTCGTTACAAAACATGGTTTCTAGACCAGATAGAATCGTGTTGTTGTCAACTCGTTATTTGTTTGATTATTTTCAGGATTTAGACCGTACTATAGTACTGAAACAGCTCTCATTGAGTCACAAATGATATGCTCTTATCATCCGATCGTGGTTGTATCTCTATGTAGTGCGTTGTTAACTCGTGTAGTGAGTTACCTCCTGTTGTGGATCAATCACGTTGTGTTGTGTGGTGTGAACAGCTAAACAACTTGAACACTCATGATTTCACTGAGAGCAAGTCATGTAGTGTGAACTGCACAGTTCAGCCCGACATTTTAAAATCATGTAGTGTGAACTAGGCTTCAGTCTCATTGTTTGAGCATCCTTACTTCTCTTTAAGAAGGGCACAAGAACTAAACTGATGGTTTGCTCAGGCTGTTGATCTGCTGAACATCAGAACAATGCTATAACTTCTTGCTTTTCTGTATTCTACTTCAGCTCTCTTTCCCTTGGTAAACTGTATGCATGTGTATGTTTAAATGTTTAGTCTAGTTAATAAATTCTTTTTCATATCACACGTAACGTTGTCTGTGTCTCGAGCTCATATCTGGAGTCACTAATCATAGATCTTGACTACTTACTCTTAGTAATAAGACATTTCCCATGCCCCGGAAATGTACATTTCTATTAATTAATTAATAACCAAAATTGAGCGTTCACGGGATGGCACGCTGTCTGAAAAACATTATGCATGTTTCAGGTGTTTGTTCACAGAGTTGCTTCACAGACAACATTATTTTTGAATGCGTCTTATTGCGTTTGAATGGTTTAATAGCACTTAAATGAATGGCAGTGTGATCATATCTGATCATATACCAAAGGATGACAGAAAAAAAAAAATGGATGCTGCTAACCGAAAACAATTTATAACAAAATTAATTTTGCCATTTCTTTTTAATGGGTCATATCATTTTTTTTTTTTTATTTGTACTAAATTATTCATATAAATGTTACCCAGTGTTTTTCTTCTAAACATGTAGGTTCATGACCATTTAGTTCCAAAACAAGTGATCAGTAAACACTATAATACAATTTGTACAGACATTCATACCCATTATGCTCCTCCAGATCTTTCACATGGCTAATATCTGCATGGTAGAGTTGGTAAAGGCCATCCCAAGCGTCAGATATTTAGAAATACTGAAAGAGAAAAAGAGACAACAGAAAGGCTTGTTACTAAAATACAAATACCTTTAGGAAATCATCAAAGTTTAATTCCTCCATTTCAGACTAATTCAACCAAACACACTTGTGAGGCATCAAGTTAAGTTAAGTTAAAATACTCCAGCCAGAGGTGTGGAATCCACTTGCTGTTTACCTGAAAGCAGCATGATTTAACTAGCACAATCGAGTGTGAAGAATTGAATCAATACTGTTAACAACACACATGTTTCCCATCCACAGGGATGCCTGTATTAGTTTGTTTGGCTGTATTTGTCCACATGGCTTGAATACGAATTCCTAATGGCATTAATTAGACATACTGTAGCTACACTACTGTTCAAAAGAGTGGGGTTGTTAAGATTTCTCAATGTTTTTAAAGAAGATTCTTATGCTCACCCAGGATTATTATTTTTTTAAATCAAAAATAGAGTAAAAACAGAAATATTATGAAATATTATTACAATTTATAACCCTTTTCTATGTTAATATACGCTGTCCCGAAGGGTTTCCTTCTTTCCAGACAGTCTTCTGCAAGTTTTTGCGAGTGCAGTGCTGCAACACGTGACTGATTTTTCTTCGTGGTGACTTTAATCAAGCATACCGCATCATAATACCAGTTTCGACCATGGGAGGAGGTAGGTCGAAACCCCCCATGAAAAGGATGTGTTTCAGGAAACAGAAGACAAGGGCACTTAAGAAGCTTCTACGGTCACTAAAACAAATTCCTTGTGTGTGCAAACATACTTGGCAGTAAAGCTCTTTCTGAGTCTGATTATATTTTGAAATTAAATGTACTCCTGTGATGGAAAGCTGACTTTTTAGCACCATTACTCCAGTCTTCAGTGTCGCATGATCCCTCAGAAATCATTCTAATATGCTGATTTAGTGCTCAGGCACAATTCTTATTATCAATGCTGAGTCAGCACAAAAGTTGTTTAATATTTTTGTGGAAACTACAAAAAAAAAAAAAAAAAAAATAAATAATCAAATCTTCAAAGTGTTTGAAGACACCATGCAGGTTCCAGTGAAGATGGAGTATGAGCTGGAAGAGCATCGCTTGTCCGCAGATTGAGATTCAGATTATTTCATTTAATGCTGTGTCAGCATTCAAAGCTATTTACAAAGCAAAAATTAAATTACAAAAATACAAATATCATATAAATACAATAAAACAAATACAAAAACAGCAAGTTATATTATACCACAGAATTTACATTAGAAAGTGACATATTAACATATGAAAAAAAAAAAAAAAATGTCCATAAGTGAAGTAACTTCATAAAAGAACATTCTGCTTGTATTAAGTCCAGGACAATTCAATAAAATGTTTGACAGATAAGGGAATCTTACAAGTTGGTTCTTTAGCTTTAAGTAAAAAAAAAACATGGGTCAAACTTGTGTGACCCATACGACATCTGGTGTAGACCACTTGATTAAGTCTAGTTTGAAGAGTGATAAAAAGGATTTTTGTAATTTCCGGATGAGTTTTGTACAATTTATTTCTCTTGCAGATATTCCACTCTTCTTGCCACTTATTTAATATGTATGGCTTAATAATTGGTTAGATATATGAAGGAGGAATTTGACATTCATTAACTCCCTGATTAAGAGCTTCCTTAGCAGCTGCATCAGCTCATTCATTTCCTGAATGTCCAACATGGCCTAGAACTCAGCAAAAGATAATACTCAAGAACTGATTTAGTAGATAATCCACTTTGGTTAAAATAGTCCACTAAAGGATGATACATTTTTAAAGAGTCCATTGCTTGTTGTGTATTAAAGAATCCCTTTGTTGTGTATTTTCAATATGTTCCAATGCTAAAAGTAAAGCACGTGCTTCAGCAGAGAAAATTGAGCACTGTTTTGGAATACGGATTTCATAGCGTTGATGTCCAGTCACCAGTACTGCTGTTACACAATTTTCTAGCTTCGAACCATCTGTGAGTAGAGGTAAGTGAAAAGGGAATTGGGTTTCTTATGTCCAAATATTGCTGTCTATATACATTAGGGTGAGTCACTCCTTTCCTCTGATGAGCCAAATCAAAACTGATATTAGGCTTTATTTAATTTCCAGGGAGATATAGAATTAAATTTGATTTAAAATGTTCAAATTTGTGTTCAAGTTCTCCAAATGTGGTTTATCTGATGCTTTTAAGTTTGTTATACAAAGGAGTAAATTGTAGGTTAAAGACTGTAGAATAGGCTGGATTGGTTTTATTTCCCTTTATTTTGACAGAATATTGGAGTGAGAGCTTCAATCGTCTATTTTGAAGTGAAGGTTCATTGGCTTCAATGTACAAACATTGCACTGGCGAAGTTCTAAATGCTCCCAAGGCAAGTCGTAAGCCCTGATGATGTACTGAGTCAAGCATCTGCTTATATGATTTTCTGACAGAGTCATATATTATGCTTCCATAGTCCAGACGGGAACAGATTAGAGTTCTACAGAGTTCTCAAAAGAACACTGTAATATGCTGACATTTTTTTTTTTTTTTTTTGCCAATACTTTCATTACATTCATAGCTTTAAGACACTTGATTTTTAGTGATTTCAAATGAGGAATGAAAGTAAGTTTGTTGTCAAATAGAAGACCCACTTGAGTTCCTTAACAAAATTAATTGGTTCTCTATTAAATTCACCCAAAAAGAAATATTCTGTCAGTAATTATTCACGCTCATGTTGTTCCAACCCCATAATACTTTTGTTCATCTTCGGAACACAAATTAAGATATTTTTGATGAAATCTGAGAGCTGGATCACTCCTCCATATAGGCTTCTTAACGGATCGAAACTGGCTGGCCCCAAAGTTATGAAAGACATAGCTAAAATACTCAGAGTGACTACCGTGGCTCAATCTTAAGTTTATCAAGCGACGAGAATACTTTGGTGGAGAGAAACTACAGGATTCCCATTGAAACACCTTCTGCATTTTTGATGATAAATGCTGATGTGCTCAGGATAAGCAATGAGCTGGAAAAAAATGGACCGGCTGTGCAATGAACTAGGCTTAAAACCAAATGAAAGGTAATTACAAACTATTTTTGAAGCATGTAGTGGTCATGTGGACATATTTAACTCATTATTCCCCGTCTTGTTTTTACCTTTTAATCAATAAAAGTGCCAAAAATATCATTTTAAAGCTGCAGTCCACAGTTTTTCCTCTTTGTCACCTTCTCGGTTCGAAATCTGCAATTGCAGTTATTCACGGAATTATCAACTTTACAATAGTTGTGCCTCGGCGCGGCACAGCACGGATTAATCCAATATTTTGAGGAGAATGTGTGGCTGTCAGTCGCCGCCGGTGTGGATACTGGCATTCAGAATCACAGATTCTACTTTTTGCAAGTATGACCAACATAAGAATTTTCACCGGAAAATGTCATCTAACTAGAAAGAAACATCCACTTTTGTTATGGTTCTGACAAATCTAACAATTACTTATAAGTTATCATATCACGCAAAACCATGCAAATTTTCTCAAATTGTTAATTTTAACAACGTCAGCATTGCGTGACTACATGTAATGTCCTTCTGATATTATCATTGTTTTCGCATGGGCTGGTCGCAGTCTCTTTCCAAACTCTCACTTTAAAGTCTTCTGCATTTTACAGCGGGTGAATCTGTTGTCACTGGTGATTGTCGTTTGAACCTTTCTGGATCCGTCATCAAATTGATACGTTTAATTATATCAAGTGCTGTGAGAAAAGGCTTTAAATCACCATCTTCAACATCCTCACACTCAATATAGCCTAATAGCCGAGACTCCATTTTTATGTGTACAGATGTGACGTAATGACGCAAAGACATGCTTGAATCTCCCGTGGAAATCCACCACTGGAATTAAAAACATTATTACAAGCTTACCGTTTTGAACAGAGCTACTGTAAGGTAAGCAGATTGAACACTGGCTGGTCATGTACTTGCTCAAATCCAAAAAAAGTTACAGCTGGAGCTTTAAGTTGTTATAACTTCACTAACTATGGCAATAGGGATGTACCAATAAACATTTTGGTCGATAACGATAATTCTTTATATTTGAAAGCTGATAATTGAAATATTGACAGATAAATCTAAATCCAAAATGTTATAGTTTTTGAAGTTTTAAACTGTATTTTACTTTTTATTCAATGAACACTGTAAAGGACTGGGAGTCTGCGCCGGAGACTTTAATTGCGTGAAGGATGAGAGATTGGAGAAGTCCTTGTCAGGCATTCTAATCAATCCTCTTCGGTTCTTAAAAAAACTGTGCAAAGAAACTGGTTTAATTGATAGCTGGAGAGAAATGAACCCTTATGGTAGAGACTACACATTTTTTTCCAAACCCCATGGTTCATATATTTTTATCCCAAACTTCTTTTAATCTTACATATTTTAGTCAAATTGGCTCAATTGCCATCTCAGATCATGCTCTGGTTCAGATAGATATATTACATTAGGGACTCTGACAACAAGAAGTAAGGTATGGAAACTGAATTCATCTACTGTATGTTATGTTGTCGGACCCCAAGTTTTGTAATGTAGATTCAATAAAAAACTATTGGTCAGATACTAAAAACTCACCCGTTACCCCTGCTGTAATGTGGGATGCAGCTAAGGCTACAATCTGGGGATTCATTATTTCCTATACAGCTGCACATAAAAAAAGCCATGATATCTACAGTAAATGACACGAATGAAGTAAAAAAGGGAAAGGGAAGTAAAAAAAATAAAAATAAATAAAACGTTTACATAGCACATTTTCCACTCAAACTAAATTGTCTGCTTTATGCCATAGAGCTTAACTCAATCTTGATCACACCAATCATATAAAACAAAAAATTACTTTTTCTTTCCAAACAAAATTATCATGAGCATACAAACATATCAAGTAGACTGTTAGCATATCAGATAAAAAAGAATCACTCTGAGAGAATAATTAAATCTCTAAAGTTGTCGGATGGCATCACTATGATCCTGTACTTACTGTATCAATGATG